TAAAACGTCATAACTCATGAACGGATGGGAGGATTTTAATGTTTCAAACGGCAAACAACGCGTATTTAGGTGGAGAATATGTAGAAATTCCAAAAATATTCGAAAAGTTGTTCCTTAACCCTGTAAAATTATAAAAACCCCATAAAAATGATCAAATTTTCAAACGATCATAACTCCTACAATAATGAATATATTTCAATGAAATTTTGAGGCGAAGTAGAACTCATGGGTACCTACAAAAAAGTGCTAAACAACATTTCTGTGGCGCGTCAAACAAATTTATTAAAAATGAAAAGGGAATTTTTAAGAATAATCGACGTGGCGTAGGTGCCCAAATTTTTAGGCGAAATTGAAAAGTTTCAAATCATTCTGAAAAAATTATTTTCGGCAGCGGGTGTCAACTGCAATCATTTTTGGTGAATACATATACCCCCGAAACTCTACGCATTTTCGAGAAGAAAATTCAAGAAGGTGGACAAATTTTTCGTCGAAATTGAAAAGTTTCAAAGCCTTCTAAAAAAATTATTTTTAGTTGCAGGGGTCGATTGCAATCGTTTTTGGTGAATACACATACCTCCGAATTCCTACGCAGTTTCGAGAAAAAAAATTCTTTACCGAAAGTACAGTGACTGACCATATTGCGGATGTTTCCCCTGAAATTTCTTGCGTGTGTTTAAAACGTCATAACTCATGAACGGATTGGAGGATTTTAATGTTTCAAAAGGCAAACAATGCGTATTAATGGGGTTCCAGAGCCCCAGAAAAATGGTCTGAAAAATGATATTGGATGTAAAGTAATGTTTAACGAAACCTCGATCAACAAATGATATTCTTGATTTTCGTCTTAGTTTGGCCTCTAGAATCTCTCATTAAAATTTTTCCCAGGGGTGGTCGAACACCCTGTATATACACTTCCCAACATGTCCTACATACAGCAAGATATCACAAGTTTATTAATCCTAATAATATATCCTGTTTACGGGGGGTCACGTTCGGTATATGCAGTTGCTGTCGATCGATAGTTACACTATAATTAAAACAATATACTATTATATTATAATTAACAATGAATTCGTAACAGTATAATTAGATAGACTGTATCAGTTTGATGTAGTATCGGATATTTGAGTACGCTTCGATTCTTCTGGTCGTGTATTCCGGTGTATCGATTTCCTGTAATGTCATCGGTACGTATCCGCATCACTATCCGTTACTGCCAACACTATCTTGTGTCCTTTGCCCGGGTCCCCTATCCCACACCATTTCCATACCTTTGTAATTCGGTGCTTTAATCAACAGCCGCGCAAGTTTCGTCGCAGCCATGTTGCTGCGAGTTCTGTCGTCCGATCGCCGACTGTCGAGCGAGATAGTCGCGTTCCACGCTGAGCGGGCACGCGCGATAATGCCAATTCATTTGGTTTGATATACGGCCCGGAGCTTAACCTGGCGGAAATCCGAAGAAATCGCCCCTGTTATCGTGAACCCACCGACGCAACGCGGAAACCTCGCGTCTGACTTATGACGGTTCAGACTACTGTGGATGGATTTCACCATCGTCGAACGCTGCAAACTCGGAACAATCGGGAATAACGATAAAAAATGGCTAGTCGTGATCGTCCATGCTCCAAATATACTCCAAACTTCTATCAGAAACCCGATTACTCGAGTGATTACTAAAATTTTTTTTTTTTAATAAAAACTGTACAGATTATGTACATAAACTTTTCCGTAGGTATATTTATTGACTTTCGAACGGGTTTGAATTTTATCGGCGCGTTGTAATAAATAGTCGAAACTGTAATTTCGCAGATGGAAAACGATCGAATAATTCCATTAACAGGCTTCGTTATTTATTTGGGTATGTTAACAAGAAAAGGTGGAATACTGAAAATTTTCCAAGGGCGTCGAAATCGTGGTCGTGTCCCTACGGATATAAATTTCGAGCGTCGAGGCTCGAACTGTAATTATGATGTTTGCGTAATGCTACCCTAAATTGATAGCATCGAAACAAGTTTTAGTCTCGTCGTTAATCGCAGTTTACCACCATTTACGAGGAGATCCGTCAACCACGACCCGCGATAAGACTACCCACCTGCTTTTCGTGAGTGAGTCAGATATCGAGGGACGAGGAAACCCTCCGTCACGAACGTAAACGACGCTGTAATTAATTCCTTCGCCCCTAACTTCTTCCGAGACGAATTTATACGGCGCGTGTATTCGTGCCCTTTATTCATTAGCGGTTGAAATTTGAATATCGGGGAACTTCGACTTCGAAGCATAGTTGTAGCTGGAATTATTTTTCGATGCCTAGGGCTTCCAATTTCATATTCTATCGACTCGAATATTCAATATAAATATGCTTAATAAATTATACTTCCAAATGCATCTTAGAAACTGGTTAAAAATCTTAATTATTAAAATGATCGATTCGACATTAAATTGAGGAAAACTCCATTGTTGCTTGTACATTGAAGCTTGTACTTCGAAAACGCACCTTGTTCCGAGTTCGTCGAAAATTTCGAACCGTGCGAGAGCTTCGTAATAAAATTTTGAAACTATTGTGGCAGTGAAACAAAAAAACACGCAACTCTGGGCGCTCGAAACTTAATAATCACGTACTTGACCTGACAACTTCGTTTGGCATTACGTTTCCCGCCGCTAGAGGGCTACGCTCTTGTCTCTCTCACAAGTGCTCGATCGTCCTTCTATTTCTATACTATTTTGTTCACTTTTCCCTACAACAGTCGCCATAAGAATCTCAAGATGGAATAAATATATATCGTTCCGTGAATTTTTCAGGCTGATCCGTTCGCGTCATCTGGTCCCGATTTCGGTCGGCGGTTTTGTGCAGTCTCTAATGGCGTTCATCGGGCCGCGAAACCGGAACAGTTTCATGGAAACCGGCGCCGTTTTGCGGTATTATGCCGCCAGAAATTAGATCTCGCCCGGTGCGTTCGTCATCGCGAACAATTCGCAATTTTCTCGCTGCAGGAGTGGCAATCGAGTTATACCACGCGGTTCCCGTATAATTCGATAGGAATTCAGTGACGCGTAAGCTCCTACCAACCCACGGCCAGGTTGTGCTCATAATCGCGACGTCAACGAGCTCCGTCGGACGCAGCGAAATTGCTGGGGAGTCCTGATTCGTGATTGGGATCGACCACACCTTACAAATTGGCTCGAATCTTGACCCAGGACCATTCGAAACACTCAAACATACTCCAATTCCTGACTCAAACCAACTTTTAACTGTTCTATCTTCTCCATAGATATATTATAAAAACACTAATAAAAAATTGCTCGAGGTGCTATTATAGAAAGTAATATACAGTTATTCCGTTCGAACTATTGATTACTGCAGGAATAAGTAGTTTGATAATTTATATTGTTCCTCGTTATTTAACAGTACACCCCGTTTTGTTTCTGAAAACGAGTCAGATATCTTTCTGCTCCTAGAACACGATAGCTTCGCTCTTCGATCGCGATCAATCCAGTCAAAATGGCGGGTTTCTGCAATTTCCAACGAACCACCGGCCGAACGGGGTCGGTACAGAGCGATTTGCTTTAATACGGGAACATAAAAGGCCGCCATTGCCACGAATACACTTGGTCGATTCTATTATGCACCGGTCGCGGCCTGAATCGGAACAGAATCGTCCCCGAATAATAATAATCAACCGCATTTGATATCTGGACATTTTTCGAGCGGTGCTTCGGTGGCTCGTAAATCTGCGCGGATTGCTCGGGTCGTCGGGCGCTCGGGGATTCGAAATAAAATCGGTGTTCATGAAAATTCATGTCGTCAGCGACTCGATAATCGGGAATAGCAGAACTTAACGATCCATTTGCGGCCGTATTGGAATAAAGCATCGCGATAAACGAGTAATTCTTTCGCGCGAGTCGTTTGAAATTTAGCGCTCGATAACAAATCGGAGAAAGCGCGGTTCCCTTTGTGTTCATGGGAAATGTAAAAAAATTGTTTCGCGAGATTCCAGGAAACTTGAATTTCCTCCGCGAGGAAGCGAAGGAACTGTTTTTTTTTAATTTTAAATTTCGCCATTAATTATTCTCCTTGACGCCCACCATCCTCTCGAAGCCGAAAAATCGAGCAGAAAAACTGGCTCGTGTTCTTCGATTCGCTAACCCGGTACCTCGATCTTCGCTCGGTTTCGCCCACGGCAAATTATCCGACCATTCATTATTCACCGTTTCCCTCGTAATACCACTTTTGTGCCCGCGGAATTTCACGGCCATTAATCAGATGTAATCGGATAGAGGAATCGCGAAGTAACCGGAGAGCCGGGAAATTTAGTTTTGTATCAATTACCACGATTAATCATCGTTAGATCATAATTAACGAGGTGAACGACCCGATTGATTTCACGCGGCTACCGGCTACACGGGCTTCTTGGGAACGTTTTCCAGGAGTTACGGACCTCCGGAGGCGTTTCGAATCCAGATAAAGAAAGAGAACTAGAGGGAGGATCTCGTTACGCAAGAATCTTGGTACCCACGATTACTGTTCGATTGTCTTCTGACGTCCTCTGGAGAACCAATTACGGATGTCGCGAGAACTCTTGTTTGGAAACGTTTGGGAAATTGTTCCCAACGTGGACGTCCTCGAAATCATTCCATCTTTCTCGTGATCTTGTCATTCAACTCAATTTCGAATGTGAGTTTTTACTGTTCAAAATTTCGAACTTTCGTGTAATTGTAAAACACTTTGAATACTTTTCCGAGTTCCCCCGAAGAGTACCTGTTCCCCAAAACCAAAGAACGTTATATTTTATTTTCGTTTGCCCGTTTCGAAGATAAAATCTTTGCAATGTTTGTTCCGCTTCCGCTCAAATGAACTCTCAGAGACGGGACCGTGGAAATTTATACGACTGGCGCGTGTAGCTTTTATCGCGCATCCGATGAAACAACTCTATGGGCTGTGAAATTGTTTACATGCACGTTACTAGGCCATCGCGTCGAGTCTATTGGATTTTCATACGCACCTGAACTTCTAAGGCATGGTAAGCAAATATGAGGCCAAGCAGTATCACAGTAGACACAGAGATCAGGGTTTTCAATGCTGTCGAGTAAAACGAGGCCTGCAACATAAAACATCGTTCTCATAAATCTCGGTTCCGGGTATATTGCCCTTATTCTACGAGCACTTAAATTTATGTCGTTCGCCCTAAACAAACAGCAATATGACGCGAACGTGGCGGCCAACGATTTACAGAGGAATCAATTGTCACCATTCTCCTTCGAATCCAAGAATCCAGTAGTAAGAAATCGAGGTAAATAAAATATCATCTGCTTCTCCAATTCAATATCATCGATTAAAATATTCTTTATAAAATACCCGTTATTATTATGTACTTCTTATTTTTTCTACGTCTACCGTTTCGCGTGCCTACATCGTGCAGCTTTTTATAGTTTCATATTTCTATTTATAGCGTAAGGTGCATAACAAATATAATTCAATTAACTTCCGCTCGACGGATTAGAAACGTACGACATACACGGCACTCGTCGTACATTTTGTTGCAAAAGTTTCTCCGCGAGGAAGTTCCAGACGAATTTACACATATTTAATTATCATTAGATATTTACTTTTTAGCAATCGTAGAAAGGAACAAAATTCATTTTCCATGCTTCGAAGGAAGTAGAAACACTGTAGTCCGTCCAACCACTATGGATTATGACTCTTTCACACTGTGCACAGCAAATGGTTACGTCGAAATGACTCTCCACCGCGAATAAATTAACGTAACGAGGCAATTATGAAAATTGCCATGGAAGACTGAAATGGCCTGCAAAATCTGACGAGGTAGGACACGTTACCCATTGTCTATCGAGGTTTCCAAGATATAAATGCTTATTTACAATGAGCAGCGTTACGCGGTACTAATGGACGCGCTTATAGGAAAACGTAGAATTATTCATACCAGGTCACGGGTCGCGAATTTTAACGCTCGAACTAAAATCGTTCCCAATAAACTTTATTTCAATTCGTCCCTCGAAACGTTTCTATCGGATGAGAAATGCTCGACAGTGTAATTAAACATTCATGGATCGACGTATTAATTCCAACCGCGTCTCGTAATGAACACCCAAGGACGCGGAAGTCCTAAAAAGGGTGAAACGACGCGGACTGTTGGGTCTCCAACGAAGAACCCTCGAACCACTCGAACCACTTCCCACCGAGTGTTCTCTCTGTAATTAAATCGAGAACGTCGAGTCGTGGTGGGGGTGGTCGTCCGAAACAAACGGTAAAACTGACTGAAGGTTCCCCGCGGTACTCGGGGCGATCATAACTGTTACCATAAGTAGAGCTTGAGTATTTCCCTTTTCTCTCTTTTCGAGCGCCAACTGAATATCCTTTGACATAATGGCGGCTCTCTTAACGCGAACGAGATCCTCGGGGCATTCGCGGCTACAGTTCTTGCCAATGGTATTCCACCGGGACGTAAATCGAATTTCGACAATCTATGGTCCTTGGAGGTTCGTAATATACATACATTCGTAGGTGTTTTCGCTACTGAAAATTGTCCATTTCTGTATTTTAGCTCACTTGTTCGGTTATAATTTTTTTGAAACAGTACACTGTATGTTTTAAGCAGCGTACAGTAAATATGACACTCTGACAACTTGATAATAGAGCTCCATTTAGGTATACGAATACCAATAAATACGTATGCGTTTACCAAGTTCTCGATTTTACTGTAATATGCGCACTTTCGAACGCTTCTATAGCTTATAAAATGTCTCCCGTTTATCGGCGATAAATAGTGCATTAGAGATGTACGATATTTACACCTCGAAAGCTTCCCGGTTTGTTCGAGGTTTCGCAGAGTCCAAGTTCTGCGAGGCAAACGAAGTTCCCCTGACGAATAAATTTTATTAACATGCCCACGTTCGCGTAGCCACCGATGAAACTTTCCAATCGGTCGGTCGATCAATTTAGAAATGAAGTTCCCGCGTAGGGATGGTTTGAAGAGGTACCATAATACTGTTTATTTTCTTGGAGCAGTCGAATTTGATTGCTACTTACACCCACCCTCGATCGGAACGGCGGTGTTCGAAGGTTTGAGGGAATAAAATACGACTGAAAGTAAAATCAAGTAATTGTCTATAAATCGAGACGGTGAAATATAATTGAACGAATTCGTAAGTACCCATCGAACGATAGGAATCAAAGGTATTTCTGTAAAACCCAGAATTCGCGTTCGAATCATTGGATTAAACTTCGCTTGTATTGGATTTTTCAGACGATTAAATTGTAGGGAGAAAGATGAATCTTTTGGATGTTCCGATTAGATTTCTTAATGGTTGCAACGAGTATGCAAATAGATATGAAAATAATCGATTAACGCAGTCGTGCAATTACACGTTCTGTGCGCCGCGCGCGTCGAAGTGATTCGTGCGAATAATACACAGATTTAATAGTTCCGCGAGCAGAGGCTGCATCCGGTGGCCAGATTTTGGTACGCTGGCGGTGAATCTGTGGCTTCCATGATAGTAGACAGACGGTTAATTAGTTACATGTAAGAGGAAACCCTTGTAACGTTTGATATTGACGTTTGCTTTAAAATTGCACTCAAAACGAATGAAATTGCGTAGATTTCGAGATGTCCTTCCAATTTTAACCCTTTTCAATTGCGACGCTTGATAATTGTATAAAAATTCAGCGGCAGAGAGAAGCTTTTCGAGCATTAATGCAATGAGATGGAAGTAATAGTAAGTAATAATATGGGAAATCTATTTTACGCAAAGAAGCGTTTAAAAGTAAAAGGTAAAAGAACACGCTTGCTCCAATCCCATCACACTTTCCTGACTTTCGTTACAGTTTATTTACCGCGAGGAACGAGCCAAAGCGATTTCCAGCAAACGCATCACCTCGACGATCCAATAACAGATTATCGCCTCCTCAAGGTGACCGACCTCTCTCTTCGTATTCGAAGCGATTCCGATCGACGACCTCGCCCACGTTGCAATCCTGAGCTGAATTTACTCGAAGTAATACGACGTGAACATACTGCGATCTTCCTATTACCTATCACATTTTCATTATTCATCGCGCGCAACACAATCCGCCGTAAAAAGATTTTTATTGGAATTCCGCTTCGAAAAATGGGGTAAAATATAAATAAAGTTCTCAACTTACAAGGAACGCTAGATAAGTGTCTCAAAGATTTGACATAAAACATTTATTTTCAGATACAGTAATGATTCTTGAAATGAACACGAGTGATTCGTAAATTGAACATTCTATCCTTCCCCAACTTGGGGAATCCTCCTCGAAGTCAGTGAATCCGCGAAAGACGTTGTTTGAAAACCGATTGTGGTGATGATTCTTAAAATGAACACCAGTGATTCGTAAATTGAACGTTTCTATCCCTTCCAACCGGGATAAGGATACAGGCGACTCCGAGACTCGACGATATCGCTGCGTATAAATATCTGCTTGCGTCGACGTTCATTTTACGAATCATTGTTGTACGTAAACGTCGAGAAGCAAAGAAAACCGAGAATCAGTCTACCATCCACTAGAGTCGATCCAGCAGACCATTTTAGGAATCGTTCTAACGTTCATAGTTTACCATCGATCGGTGAAAAATCACGAATCGTGTTCTTCAATTTTTCTCTTGCATTTTTCCCCGGGAGCGACGCATGAAATCCGGCGTTCGATCGGTCGAGATTCAATTTTTCGGGGAATTGCCCCTCCGGATTCGAGGAACGATTATTGGCCGATATTCCAGGTGTCCCCTCGTGAAAATCCCCAAGTCTGGAGAATTTTCCGTCCCCTCGATCGACGTGGAAACACACCGTCGCGTGTACAACGACGCAGAGAGCCCCGGCTGCCGAGGCGGAACCGCAATTTTGGACAGCGACCAGCCATAGACGGGCTTTCATCCTATTCGTCGATAATGCTATAGGACTTAATCCCGAGCGGACGCGTGGACGAATCCCGCAGCGTTGCACTTTTCTTGAGTGGGCTCGCGGACTTCGTGAAAAGGGATTATTGATTACAAATGAAATGGAGTCCGGGGAACGGGCCTTTGTCGTCGATAATTTGTTTCTTTCGCCGTGTATTGTTGGCTAAGGAGGATACACGTTCACTGGAAACGGTGTAACTGGTCTTGATATTATTTTGGTCGAAAGTCCAAGACACGTCTCGTAAAAGTACGCGTGGCAATGCGAAATTCAAGGCATTTATTTTTTATTTGTCTTAAAATAAATTAAATAGATAAAGGACCGTCAAGGAATCAATCAATGGAAATTAGATTTAACACTGAATTTATTAAATAACTGAGTTTATTTATATTGTAATCCAATGCTTCCAAGATCGATCGAAAGGTATGCACTTACAAAATTAGTTGGATTTGCTCTTCCATTCGGGCCAAATGTCTGTAGAAATAAGCTTGGTCATAGTGAGTTAATAGATTCTGCATGCTAGCGAAGAACCACTACCGGAACGTGGACTTTTTCTTTGAATCGGTGAGTTCGAACGCTGATCGAACTGAGGGTAGTCGAATGTGCTTGTAACGAGCACCAAGGGACCGATAAAATTTCATCGATACAACGAATATTCACTGTATCGGTTCTAGTTAAACTCACTTTGTTTTTTTAATGGTCAATAACTTGATGAGAAAGATACAATAAAAGGGAAAAATAATTTCATTATATATACACAGGTCGAGGTATTTCATTTTGCATCGCGTACTATTTTTCACTGCGAACGTAACAACAAATTGCGAAAATAATTGCAGCAGAAGGGGATGAATTTCTCAAAATATCGACAAATCGTTGGAAACAGGAAGAATTGCAAGGGAATACTCGTAAATTGCAATCATAATGGAGTTCTGCTCATTATATCCGTGATCTCATTATCTCCGGTCCTCGTTATAACTAATTTCGATGGTACGGCGGGTCTTGGAGTTACGCCGGATTTGCAGATACACGGTAATGCAACCACTTAGTCCTTACGAGGGGATCTGCTATAAAACTAATGAACCTTCAGGCTCAGGCGGCAGAACCACGTTCGTCGAGTTTTTTACTTCCATTACACGGAAGCAAGCGTACATTTTTTTTGTTTTCGAAA